GACCGAAGCATGTCATCGCACCATAAGGTGTCATCTCACTGGAGTCAATCCCTATATACATATATATATATATATATATATACATACATACATACATACATACATACATACATACATACATACATACATACATACATACATACATATATATACATACATACATACATATATATATATATATATATATATATATATATATATTAGGTTAAATAACAACTCATCTGAATCAGGTTCACTCATCCAAATCGTCGAGCCCAAGTATCACGTTGGATACAACCCCATATGAATGTGCGGTTTGCAAATTTTAGTTTGGATTTTTATTGAAATTCTTGGCAAGTATTGTTTTTTAATAAATAAATGTTTTTCTCATGTTTTATGTGGCAGTGTTACTCCAAATTTGGTGAGGTGGTTTTTTCACTAACTCGCTTCTTTCGAGATGCAAGAGTGTCAAACCCAACAAAACGTGAGCTCATGCAGTATGATGCAAGGGGTAAGTGTCTTAAACCCAGCTTGGTTGAAAGAAATGGGGGCTGGAGAAGGAATTAATTAAGACTTCATTTGCCCATTAACTTAAGGGCTCATTATTAATCTGGAGGACTCTAGGGGAAAAAGATAGTCATTTTGGATGGAAACCAATATTAGGGGACCAGAAAATGAGTCTCAAACCCTTAAAAGTTATTCTAGATATCTGTTCAAACTCATACTACAACAACAAAGTCTTATCCCACTAGGTGGGGTCGGCTACATGGATCAAACAAAGTCATTGTGCCCTATCATGTATCATATCTGCTGTGAGATCATTCACACAAAGGTCTCCCATGACCACTTCTTGCCAAGCCTTCTTAGGTCTACCTCTTCCTCTAGCCACATGTCTATTCACCATTTGATCAACCCTTCTTACTAGATGCTCTTTTGGTCTTCTCTCTACATGTCCAAACCACCTAAGACGAGTTTCTACCATTTTTTCTACAATAGGTGCCACTCCAACTTTAGCTCTCATATCTTCATTCCTTATTTTATCCATACGCGTATGACCGCTCATCCAACAAAGCATCTTCATTTTCGCCACACTAACCTTGTGTTTATGTTCATCTTTTTCTGCCCAACACGCTGTTCCATGCAATATAGCTGATTTAATCGCAATATGTTAAAATTCCCTAGTTTTAAATGTACTTTTTGTCACATATAAAGCCCGAAGCACTCCGCCATTTTGACAAAACTCATACTCCCCCATCTATTCAAACTCGTATTATTTATTTATTTATTTATTTAGTTATTTACTCCCACAAAGAAGATTTCACTTTCCAAATTTGCGTTTGAGAGTGCAATTATTAAAGTAAGGTGGGTGAGATATTAGAGATGATGTGATTGGAGTACAGAAGGGTAAAAAGGATTATTCAAACCTTGATACTTCTAAATTTGGAAGTGTATAGAATCCAATAGGATAACCAAATATGGCAAGTGTAAAGAAATCAAGGGGACGGAGGGAGTATATTATTGAGTGCAGTAGCTCCCCTAGTTCGAAGCACAAAATAACATTAAATAGATTTCTAAAAAAATAGGAACCTTTAGAAGTTACACTACTCCGTATAATATATCATGTATGTAAGAAATACTTAAAAAGAACAAAAGTTTCATTTCCATTTTCCAAGGTAAACCCAACCAAACAAAGACAATACTTCTCTTTAGCATTTTTTCTTCTCCTAGCAGTTTTCAATATCCAAACATTCCTTAAATCTGATATGGATTTTCATTTTCATTTACACCTTTCAAGAACTAACCATCTAATTTACTAATTCAATAGAAGATCTTCTGAGGTCATCCACTTGACACACGTATTTAACTTTTTTCTGCTTATAGATGTACTTTATGCTCCTTAATGCTCATATGTCATTTTTACACTCAACCCACATCTTTTGGTCGGGCTATCATGGTCTACCTGACTTCTCTCTGTGCACTCTGTTTTTCCCTGTGAATTTTCTTTGTTCTATTTATTTTTTTTCTAGCTTTTCCACCCATCTATCATAGCATCCAATGATATGGATCTCAACCACACGCTTCTTGTTTATCAATTCTCTCATAATATTCCAACATTTAGATTTACATAGTAGAGCTGATCTTCTAGCAGTTCTAAATTTTCATTCAATCTTACGGGTTCATTTTTATCACATAATACTCCTTTTGCTCCTTTCCATGTGTGCCAACATAAATCTTATGCGTCACATATTTGTCAATATCTCCACTTTCCATCACAATCAGTAATCATGCCCCTAAATAAACTCACCTGTTCCTTTTCAGGGTTTCCAACACTCATCTTTGACTATAACTATCTTTTTTGTACATTACTAAAAATTAATATAAGATACTCATAGTAATTAGTACTTAGTAGAAAATATACAACGCCAACAACGAACCCAATAAGATCCCACATAAATTAGTGTCTAGGGAGGGTGAGTGCACACAAACTTTACCTGTACTTGGAAGTAGAGAGGCCATTTCCAAAAGACCCCCAGTTCAAAGCAAACATAAGCATAGGCAAAGAAATCACAGCATCAGAAATGCAGTATGAGTAGAGCAAAGAGAGAGAAGAAGCACCGAGCCAATTCAAACATCAAGACCTGAAACCCACAAACCCGAGCTACAAACTAAGGCAAAAGGACCCTTCTAAAGCCAAAAACTACAAAAGGCAAATAAACGTCATCCAATATATAATTGATACAAATTGGTTAAAGTCACTTTCATGTGTTCAAACAATACGAAGCATAATTTATAAACTATTGAAGGTCAAACTTAACAAAAATTTACTTTGAAAAGCAAAAAGTGAAGTTTTAAGGGACAGGGAGTATTTATGAAAAAAATTATTGCAGAAATTTTACCTGATGGAAAAATCTATGTTTATCCCAGAAAATGTCAGTCAAGTTAAAGACTTCAAACCTCTATCTGATGTTGAGATTTCCAGCACTTCGGTAAGTCTCTAATTTCTCTTCACTGCATATGGTTTCAATGTTGATGATGAGTATCAACCTATTTCTTTTTGAAATGATTAGTCTTTACATGTTCCTCCTGCACGCAATGCCAAACATTGCAACAAGAACGTCATTAATCTGGATGACATCGTCCCCGCCAACCGTTCATCTCTGAAATCTGAGAAGGCATTTCAGGATTTGACTGTAAAGAAGTCAAGCAATTTGTTTGAATTTGAAAGCAAATTGTTGGGTCCTTTGAGAAAAACACCAGCGTATGGCCATCATAAAATAGTTGAATTGATCAGAACAGAATCTGATGAGGATATTATTAAACCTTGCTCCTTGAAGAAGCCTAGATTGGTTATAACAGGACATGAACAGATAGGTTCTTCTAGGGAAGGTAACAAGGGTTCCAATGTGTTCGATGATGGGAGATTAACGAATCTTGGATCTCAAAAAAAGATAGAAAAGCTGCCTAAAGATGAGACGAGGTTGCAAACTGAGGTTGCCTTATCTAATAGTGATGGAAAACTGTTTCCCTCTGCCACATCTTCTCAAGACGTTGAAAACAAAGGATCCACCTTTCTTGTCCAGGTGAGAAATCTTTTCTTTATTCTACAATACATTGAACATATTTTAAGGTTTCAGACACAAGTTTGTGCTAGCAAATACTCCTGGTCATACTTGTTTGTACAGTTTATTTTAAAATGTCTATTTATTTTCCCTTATTTATGAACTGGCTACACAAATACAACATGATGTGTTACAATCACTTTTCATACTTTGCAGTCTGCTATGTTTATATTTTGAAGGGCAATTCTCACAAAAAGAAATTAATGCTCCATGCCTCCATATATTTTCAAAATGGTCTGAGAAATAGGGACGAGGAAATATCTAATAAAGTGTTTTTTGAAGTCTCTTTTGTTTCCTGTTTCATTTGTCTAAATAATGTGGATGCATGGCTGATAATCCCAGAACATTTTATTCCAGTTGATTTGGGCAAGTGATATTTGTGGCTATATTTTTGATCATTTTGAGTAGAGTACCATTTTTGTGTTGGTTTCCTTCTAAATGTTTTGATCAATTACAGGGACATTTCTGACTTTTCTGTAGTACTTTTTTTAATTTCTTTTTAATATTTTAAAAGTGGTTGATTCGCAATAAAGGGTCCTCTGAATTAACGATGCAGGTCCGTGAGAAGCTTAGTGATCTGGAATACAAAGAATTTGTTAGTTACATGAAAGCCTTGAAGTCCAAAGCAATGAAAATCGGTCATGTCCTGGAATCCATTGCAAGATTGTTTTCTCTTCCTGATAGACTACCTCTTCTTCACAGGTATGGATCCTTCCCACTAATGATACACTTTTTTGATACTCCTATAAACCTAATGATTTGGTTATCTTTAAGCAGACAACCACTAATATCTCATTTTGCTTTGTTTTTTGTTGCACTAGACGAAATTCTTTATTTATTTTTTTAGAATCTTTTACCCGATGGATATGTTTCTGGGAAAAAAATGGATCATTAGAAAATTTGAAAGTGTGTATTTAAAAATTATTATTGTGAATCTTTGTTATAAAACTGGAATTTTGCTGACAGATTCAAGGATTATATCCCTGTCAAGTATCAATCTTTATACGAGCAGCACATAAAAAGGACATGACTCATGCAACCGGCCTCAAACAATGGATCCCAACAAAATTTTCTCCCTAAAAATGGAAACATCTCTACAGCCACCTCAGATGCAGAGGTTCAACAGCCTCTATGCATTCTCACCGCGGTTCAAATTTTTTCTCCTCGTCACCAAACACCCTTGTGCCGATATGGTGTGCTCCTTCGGCAGAAACTTCTCATGCCAGAACTAGAAGGATAGTTGCGCTCCTTGTTAACGAAGTGTTTCGATTTCAGTTAGCTGATTTTGAGGTAAGGGCTACTGCCCTGCACAATCCAATCTTGCATAGAGTTTAAGGCTAACTTGAGTGAATTCTTCACCGAAATAAATTATGGATTTCATTCCCGTGGGAAAGTTTTACAGTTTTAAACAGCTGTTTATGAAAACTGTATGTAAATGTACATTTACTCCGTATATATTTGGCTACAGTAGTTAATAGCTTTGTGTTTTGCACAATTGCATCCCCATTAGTGACCTGGTGATCCAATTTCCGATGACATTATGGCCGGAACAGTGCCAGAAGAAACCTCAAAAACAGCAATCAAGTCGACAAAGGCGCTCAGAACAAACTTGTACGATTTCTTATCATTCAAGTTCAAATAACAAAGCAACAGCTCTTCCATGAACTCCCAGTCTAGTTCCCCATGATGCTTCAACCTTTCCTCTATCACTTCACGCATGGACCGCTTGAATTCCTCGTACGGGTTCGAACCACATGTTAAAACCGCAATACTATCCTCCGGGTTCAGTCTGCTTCCCTCTCTCTTTTCATCATCTTCTTCATGCTTTTGATCATTTGGATAAGTGGACCTGAAATTCTCGAATAGAAACTGGTCTACTTTGGTCGCTTGTTCGCTGCCCCTGCCGGAATCTGGAAATGCAAATGATTGTGTCCTTGGTCGCCGCCTGCATCCCCGGAGAACCCAAGCGGTGGAGGATGATAAATGAGGTTTCTTTATCTTATTGAAGCAGTCGGAGAATGTTTTTTGGTGAGGTTTCGTCGTGTTCATAGACATGTCTTACCTCGGATGAATTAAGTTTAGGGGGTGGGCACACAAATAAATACATGCCAAGAGATGAAACGGTTGTCATAAATAAAGTTTTGAAGTTTTTCCGCAAGTTACAAACTTACAATAGAAAGATGAATTGAGATTTTTTTTGATAAATGAATTGAATCATGATTTATTTATTTTGATAATATTAAAGTTGTTGTCAACAATGGAATACGAATCAATTATAAGGTAGTATAAAATAACATTTTTACATTCATGGGTTTGGTATCAAGAAATTAATTCATCCAAGGGTTATGATGGTTAAAAGTTAGGAATGATTTCTAACATGCTCCTTCATGTGATTCCAGTATAAAAATGTTAAAAAAACCAAGTGAAGAAAGTTATTTGACGTTGGGAAGGGTTATAGTATGACATTTTAGGGGTGTAAACGATGAACAATGAAGGAGTTATGAGTTACAACTCATTAATTTTAAGAACATAGCATATGGCATCCAATTTGAGCGAGTGCTATATTATGATACTTTGAGTGTTCAAAATAACCACTCAAAAAACAAATCCAACTAAAATGAGTACTACAGAATATATTAATTCAACACTCACTTTGAGTGTCAAAATAACCCCTAAAAATGAATGCAACTAAGGGGCTGTTTGTTTCAGCCTCTTAATGGTTCAGATGTCTGAATGGTTCAGCACTTCATGGTTCAGACTGTTTGTTTCAGCCTCTTAATGGTTCAGATGTCTGAATGGTTAAGAGATTTGCCTCTGAATGGTTAAGTATTATACAGAGTCTGAATGGTTAAGACCTCTTTTCTGAATTGATCAGACATTTGCCTCTGAATAGTTAAGCAATATACTAGCTCTTAATGGTTCAGACCTCTTACTGGTTCAGCACTTACCGATTCAGAAGTTGCCAAACAGCCCCTAAAGGTTTAATTTTTTAGAGGAAACAAACCCAACTAAACGTTTATGTTAATAGTTAGAGGACAAATGGATTTTACATTCTAATGGTCATTTTACAGAGAAACCCTTGCTTGTATCTTTCCGATATCAGAATCTTTAGTTCAAAATTCATGTTATTTCTTTTAGAATTTAGAATTTATATCATATCAACCTTCCCAAAAAGGTAAATAAGTTGTATGGACGAATTCGTATATTTAGAACACAAGATTTTTAATTTTCTAAAGAAATGTAACACTTACAAAATGATTGTCTAGTATATGTGAAGGTTCATATGTACAATATGAACCTTATGTCTATATGCAAGAATTTTCCTCTTTATGAAGGTGGTTTTGTTTGTTTATTTCGTTTTTTTAAGAAACAGTAAGAGCTTATGTTTGTTACTCATACATACTTAAGATTTTTTTCTTTTTTAAATTCATATTTTATTTAAAAGCTATGGAATTCTTGGTCCATTTGCTTGCGACATGCTCACCATTGATGTGTTACATGGTTTTAGATTTTGTTTGGGAGAGTTATTTATTTATGGAGACATGCAATCATTAGATATTTGTAGTTCTTGTTCATACTTTTTTGTTCCGTCATTGCTTACCTTAATTGTTTCATACATTTAATTAATGTCTTCACCTTTTATATATTTTTTCGATCAAATTCTTAGACAGGTAAAATATTGCATCATTGCATACCTTAAGTTTAAAACTTAAATTTAAAATTTAAAATTTAAAATTTAAAATTTAAAATTTAAAATTTAAAATTTAAAATTTAAAATTTAAAATTTAAAATTTAAAATTTAAAATTTAAAATTTAAAATTTAAAATCTAAAATTTGAAATTTGAAATAATGAAAACTTTATATTTCATTACTTATTCTATTACCATTCTTCAAAAAAAGACACTAATATAACATTCTAACGTAAATATGAGTCATGTAATGATAGTAGTTGGATTAAAATTTATTCAATTGTTATTATAAAAAATACGGAGTACTAACAAAAACGTCCGAGAAAGAGAGAATTAAGGATAAAAGGGTGGGAAACCACACAGAAGGAAAGATTGAAGTTTCCCCAGTACAAAAGAGAACAAAAAAAGATTGAGCTCCAATAATTAAACTGAATTGTTATTAAACTCTTTGATGCAAATCAATTTCTAGTTTTTCTAAAACAAAAATCTAAAAAAAGCTCTTCTAAAAGTCAAGAGATGAGATAGAAAATGGAAGATGAAGAGAGAGATGCCTGGAGGAAGATGATCACTCCAAGTGAGTTCCATTAATATTGTCTAGCTTTAAATAAGAAAACAATGTCTTAGTGAAGCATTTAATTAACACTATAATGATTGTTTAAAAACTCTAAGATCTAGATAATAATTTTCTGTATGTGTTTATCAAATATTTAATATCAAAGTTTTGTTCGTTGTCAAAATTGGTGTGCCTAGGCCCTAGAGATGAATGGTTTTTGAAAATATTCACTTCGAATTCGCAGGCCATGAGAAGACCACAGAAGAACAATCCAATCCATGTCTTCCCCACCCGACGACATTCTCTTTGAAAGACGTCAACGCATGCGTGTTATCCTCGGAGAACACGCGACTCGTATGTTCGATAACGATCGCGCTTCTTGCAGGCACATCACAATCCAATAGCATCATCGCCTCCACGCCGCTCTGCATCCTCATCCTAACAGATGTCGCAATCGTGGCGGCTTGGCTGTTGGTCCCGCCTTTGGCGGCGGGAAGACAGCAACAAGAAGAAAAAGAAGAAGAAAATGGAGGGTGGAAAGGGGCTTTTGCCATGTTGGAGGTTGGGTTGGTAGTTTATCAAGTCTTTCGTGCTCTCTTCATTGACTGCAGCTTTTATATAGTTGTTCTTTTGTGTGGGCTTTGTTTGCTTTAGTTTTGCATAACATTTATTGTTCATAAATTAATATTGAACAATGGATATATTATTACACACTAAAAGTTGACACCCACGTTGACAACCACACACTGTAATTAATACTCCCTCCGTCCCAAATTATAATGCTTGTTTACTATTCACAGGGTCAAATTTCATTCACTTTCTTTCTCTATTTTCGTTAGCAATTTGATAAAATAAAATATTATTGTCATTACTAGTTTTTTAGATCTTTTGATGTAGTTTTTTAATATGTAATTTTTATTTTTTAATTCTATACCATTTGTCATATAAAATGGTTTGAAAATAATTTCAGTCAAACATCGTAAACCGAAACATGTGTTATAAATTGGGACGGAGGTAGTAGTATATAGCACAATGATATACTGATTAGTTTACTATGCATTTTAAGATGGAGAATTAATTATGAACACTTCAAAATCTTGTACTTATCAGAAGAAGAAGAAGAAGAAGCACTTGTTTGTTGTTTCCCTGACCAGGCTAACAATAATGAGAATATAACACCAAGTTTGACACCAAGGCTGACTATTTTTCGCAGAGGAAGTAATTCTCGGTGTCAAATTAATGTATGTGAACCTTGGTGTCAAACTTGGTGTTACTGTAGCATGGTCCCGTCCCCACGCTAGTGTACAATGGACCTCAGGGTCTTGTACATTGCTGAACAAGCGCGGGAGAATTCCGACATTGCCCGAAAGAGTTCGGGCAGGGCGGTCTTGAGACTGGTCAGTGACTTTTCGCTGACCTGGATACACTGCCTCTGGTAGCTCTCTTCCTCCTCTTTCAACCTATGCCTCAGGTTCTCCAGCTGTACCTGCCGCTCGATCACGGCGTTATCCTCTTTATCCCCACCCCCCTCTTCCTCCATGTCAGCGTCGTTGGGCCCCCTCCGTTGGGAATACTTGCGATACCAATCCTCGTACTGCCCTGTCTTCTTCGTCAGCTCCTTCCTCATCTCATTACACCTATCCCTCAACTTCATCTCCTCCACTTGGTACTGAACTATGGTGTTCACAACCGCGGAGAAGCTGTATATCGCGTTCCTTGCATGCTCATTCGGAAGCTTCTCGACCAGGTCTTCCCACGCGTGGAGAAGTGAGAGGATCGGAGGGTTTTGTGGTCTTTGCGGGGACGAAACTACCCTTTCCTTGAGATTCGTGTCGATGGGGACGAGGTTCAGCTTCAACCAGCTGTTCAGGGCTCTGATGTATTCCTTCTGGTGAGCAATCATCTTCTCAAACTGTGTGTGCCACTCTTGCAGTACAACACCTAACTGATACGTGCGTTCGTGGAGGTGCTCGCTTGTCTCTTTGGGGGACTGTAACATGTCCAGAGACCTTAGAGCTAGCACAATCTGTGATTGTGTCTCATGGTGTCCTTTCATGGTCTCCCACATTTTAGCCATACTGGAGGTAGAAATCACAGCAAGTTAGAAGTCAAGCAAGTTAAGCTGGAAATTCTTCTTCAACTTTATTTTTTGTACATAAGATTCAATTTATATTGGGGAACAAAAGCCGAATCCTCCTAGATGCGAAGTTGTTTTAACATTAATTATTTGCCCAATTCGATGCAGATGTAAAATCATATACTGTCATTACTATTATTCTAAAAAAAGATTGATGAAAAACATAATCTATGGTTGCACTAATGGATTTTAGAAGGTGATAGATACACGTAAAGGGTCCATTTGAAACCAGGAAAATGTTAAGAACAAAAAATAGGAAGTAAAATAGGGTGGAACTTTGAAAGGAAGTAAAATTTGGGAGATTGTTTTGTTGTTCAAATCCGATTAATTAAGTTTATATACTAGTTCAAACTCACTTCATCTATTTCTACTTTAACAATGTAAGAACACATTTTTATAGGTTCCATGCATAGCCAAAAAGTTAAAACGAATGAGCTACAGGACTGATAGAGTGATTACATTGACTGTGACTGATGCAAATCCATTCAATAATGATCCAAATCAAACAGATATACCATAATAGCCTTACCGAAACCAAGAGATCTAGCCAATCAAAAAAACAATGGAAATTAAAAAACTTGAGTATACCATAAGGAGAATGTGAAGAGACCGGTTAACAAGAAGACATTTTTAAATGTGAAAACTTACCCGTCAACAAGTGCATATAGTTTTGGAAAGAGTTGATCATCTCGTAAACGGTTTATTTCAGAAACAGTTGAATCCATAGATTGCATGTCAACAATGTATCTTGTATGCAAATGGCTCACTGTTGCCTTCATCTTCTCCAACGCTTCCGTATTTGCCCCACGCTTCTTTAACTTGTTCAGTGATGCCACCTTTTTTTGATACTCAAGTTTCATTTGCTCACCCGCCTATCAAGCATTACCCACAAGGAAAAATATTTAGTGGAAAAATAAAATTTTGAAGGAGAAAAACATACCAAATCTGGTCCCATGACTATTAGGTCATTCCTATTTAATGCATCAAATTTTCATTTTCCCCCTTTTGGTGCAAGAATCTAGCACTCTTGCCACTTTTGGATCACTCATCCCACAAAAATAACTGGGAACTGTGAGAAATTTGGCTGTATTAGTGATCAAAAGTGACAAGAAATCCATAGTTGTTGACCAAAAGTGGAAAATGCAAGCCTGTGTTAAAAATGGATATTAACAAATGGTCGTGGTACTGAAAAAGAAAATTTTATTTTGAGGGATGCACGGGAAACAGGTTTATATGATTCTAGCTCCTAAGTATCTTAATTACACCACCTCTTTAAAGAGAGTTGTGATGGCAACTTATCAAATGCCCATGTTTGTTATAGGCGAATGACATACATTGGAGGCATTGTGAATGAGTGTTAGGGGATTCAATTCCCAGTATTTTATAACCTAGACTCTAGGAGAGGCAGGTAAGAGGAAAGAAATGTGAAACTAAAAACTAACTAAAATGCCATACATAAAAAAGATGGGACCATGTATTGGCGGTATTGCAAAAGGGTAGTTTAGTAAAAAATATTATTTGCACTGTTTCCATCAATTCTCTCTCAACAATTTTCATCTACACTTCACACTCTAATTCCCAAAATCTCATCCCCACAAATGAAACATCTCATTAATGAATTCTCCATCAATTTGTAGTATTCCCAAAAACTCTCATTCACACTCACCAAATAAACTCCTAAAGGTAAGACGAAAAAAACCATACCTTCACTTCATCATAAAGTTTTTTCTCCCATGCAAGCATTTTGTCTAGTACAGTTGCGTGAGTTTCATTTTCTTCAGAATCAAAGTCATCTTTGGCATCATCTTGATTTAGCATACCTTTGAATGACTTATTCCATGTAATGACACGCATGACCTTTGTAGCATGATCAATATGCCCTATGAAGTAAACACGTATGAGCATTAAACTGGAAGAACAGAACCGGCCTTTGGGAGCACAGAAACTTCCCAAGAAACTATACATGCAACAGAAATGGCATCTCGGGATATCCTTCCCACCAAAAAGAGATTATGTAAATCTTTCCACTACTTGTTAGCTTAACTATTGATGGCCAATAATCACAACATAGAAAAAAAGGGAAGTGTATTAATATTCATACTGATTGTTTCCAAGTTCCAACAGTCAATAAAGCAATTCTACAATACATACCAAACTGAATCGAGATACTTAAAGTCTGGTAAGAAAGCTTGCATCTTTAAGAAGTTTCCTTTAAGAGGTCTGGTAAGGGATTCATTTCATCCCTCCTTTCTACAAAACCTTTCCTCTTTCATTTTTTTGCTTTCCACAAAACACTTCCACTTTCTATTAAAAAACAACTTTTATCCCTACTTTTTCATACCCTACCTATCACATCATATTTTTTCACTAATAACCAAACTATCCCATATTACTTTTTTCCATCATATCAGGGCCAAAATTGGAAAGTCAACCAAAATTACACTTTCCTTATTTTTCCCCAAAGTCAAAATCGGAAGAGTTTTGTGAAACGGAAGGAGTATTTAGTGGAATTGAGAGTTCAGACACTCTTTAACACATTTGCATTATATAAATTGAAATGCTACCTTTAGGATCAGCAAAGTTTGAGTGATAATGCAATCGAGTTGCCTCAAGCATCTTGGAGACTTCATGAGCACTTTCAGAGGCCCTAAGGAAGTAATCATCAAGTTCAGAAAATATCTGCTGCAAGGTGAGTTTCTTGCTGCCCTCCAGTAGAGATGAACCCTTAACTCTTTTAGCAGTCTTTGGGGCTGCCTCCGGTGGCTGTGGTGGATGCACGGCTTCTCTCTCCGCCACATCAGTTGCCTCTTCCTTCCCACTCCTCCTCTCTCCCGGCCCACGGCCACCACCGTTTGCCCTTCTGTGAGCTTCTTCCTCAAACACCTTGTGTTCATGTTCTTCTCTTTCAAGTCCTTCCTCGTCTTCATCATCATCCTCATCCACGTCAGCTAGGGTGTGTCCAGTGACGTTACCCATGGAGAAAAAATCCCAATCGTGGAGGGGATGAGGCGGCCTGGGATGATTGCTCTCCATAGGAGTTCTTGGCGGAGAAGGGGGCGGCAATTCATCCCCATCCGCGGTGGAAACTGACCCTCTTCCCATACGGCTCCGGTGCTTCAAACTGTGAACACTTTCATTCTCGCCCTCTTCTTCCTCCGTCTCCTCGAGGATCGTGCCTTCCCTCTCCAAGCCGGACGCCGGTATGGAGATCTCCGGCATGGTGGCAGCGCGCTGCAAGGGAGACGAGGTGAAGAAAGGGAGAGGAGGGGGAGGGAGGGGCACCGCATAGTTGGAAGGAGGGATGAACACCGGAGCCCCGGGAAGAGACGTGGGTCCGACGCCGACGGGGGCGGCGGCGTCGGAATGACTCGTGAATTGAGCTTCGGCCTGAGCGTAATCGCTGAGGGCGGCGCCGGTGTTCTTCAAGGAAACAGCGTAGCTGGAGTGAGCCGCCGCAAAAGCGTTCCGGGCAGCCACCGCGTCCTTCATGAACTGCTTCCGGTCCCTGCATCGGGTCACCGTCTCTTCGAGCTCGAATTTCGATTGCCCACAGCCCATCGGAATTCCGGCCGGATTCTATCTATGCCCAAATCGATTTCTGTGATAAACAACTCACACATCAACTTCAATTCTACACTGAAAGGAAAGAATGGGCGAAATTCTTGCTTATAAGAGAGCAGAGAGATTTGATCATTTTGGTGAGGGGAGAAAGACTCAAGACTTGGGAGAATGCAAGAATCGGAAAGACAGCAACTTTTGCTTTTGTCTTGCAGACCAAAAAGCAGAGGAAAAGAGAAGTTGAGTAAAGGGCTAAAGGCTCAGTCGGGAAAATTCGTACCCAATACGACGTCGTTCCCATGTCTTATGAATGAAGGACTTGTCTTCAAATTGTAAAATTTGCACTAAATATGACTAAGGGACTGTTTGGCAACTTCTGAATCGGTAAGTGCTGAACCAGTAAGAGGTCTGAACCATTAAGTGCTGAACCAGTAAGAAGTCTGAACCATTAAGAGCTAGTATATTGCTTAACTATTTAGAGGCAAATGTCTGATCAATTCAGATAAGAGGTCTTAATCATTCAAACTCTGTATAATACTTAACCATTCAGAGGCAAATCTCTTAACCATTCAGACATCTGAACCATTAAGAGGCTGAAACAAACAGCCTGAACCATTAGGTGCTGAACCATTCAGACATCTGAACCATTAAGAGGCTGAAACAAACAGCCCCTAAAACATACTCCCTCCGTCCCAAAAAGATTTATACCTTTCAAAAAAATTGTGTCCCACAATCTCCTACCTATTTCTATTAAAAAACCACTTTTACCCCTTACTTTTTCAAACCCTACCTATCACATCATACCTTTTTCCTAATAATCTACACATCACATCCTACTTTTACCCATCACATCAAGGATATTTTTGGAAAGTCAACACAAAATTATCCCTCCCTTAATTTCTACTTTAGTCAAAATGGGTAACACTTTATGGGACGGAGGGAGTAATAACTTTTCTAATGTAGAACTTAAACTTTTTTATTCTCTAAATAGGACTTAATAATAACCTAGTAGAAGAAATAATGTCCAGCAATGATGAACATTTAGTTGAATAATGACTACTAGATAATGACCAAAAGTCTTACATTGAGGAATAAAAACATATGATCCTATATTGGAAAAGTCATTATGTTTTAGTTCTATTTAAGCAAATTTCTCTTTTCAATTTTCTTTTACTTAGTTTATTTGATTTAATTAAATGTTGATAACTACACATAACATGAGTGTGATACAAAAACATGACAGATGAATTACCCTGTTTTATAATGTATAAAGCGTGAAACTTGAGACCATTGACCAAAATCATAAAACTTAAAAACAAATTAAATACGTAGTATGTCTAGATTTTCATGATCTAAAACGGAGTACTCTGTAGTCTATAATACTTCCTCAGTCTAAGAATGATAGAGTTAATATTTTATCTTCTCAATATCTTTTACGGAGTATTTGTTTACTCAAGTTTGATCATTTTTTGATAAAACAAAATATTCGTGTCGTATTTAGTTTTGTAGAACTTTTGAACGGTACGATGAAATTTATATATTTTATTTTTCTGCTAATTTGTAAATAAACTAATTTTACATGCTATTTGAAATGTGATAAATAATTTGAGACGAATGAATTAAATGATAAAAAACATGGAACGATGGAAAAGCATGACACATAAATACATAAGGACACGTGTTTTGTTACTTGACACTATAATCCATAAAATATAAGAGTTGATAATTGACCAATGTAATCTTATTTAAACACAATTTAAATACAGTTATATGGTCTAATTAATTGTCTAATACTCCAATTTTTTAATTTTAGTGTTACGAACCCTTCCATTTTTTCAATGTATTTAAATTTTAGTGTAGAATTAAAATAATGTTAAATTATATATTTAAAATTAAATTAAAAATTTCAAAACAAGAAGTGATAACATTATTTTATTTTATAAAATAAAAACTAATTTAATTTTACCATGAATAGTGAAGTGTATTGTGTAATTCGAGACATAGAGAGTAGAATATAATATTGTTATGTTGAAAAAACATGACACATGACCACACATGTTTTGTCACTTAACATTATAATCAGTAAAATGTTAGAAGTGAGATCATTGATTAAAACAATCTTATTCAAAAATTAACTTAAAATATGAGATATTATTCTGGTATTTTTTGTCCACTTTCGTTTTGGCTCTTGGACCAAGAAGAGAGGATTAAGAGGAGAAAATGACCAACATATCGTTTTGGCTTTAGGTATTTTCATTTATGGGAAAAACTTATACTCAGTACTTCATTATACAATAATATAGAAGATTGTTACCTTAGATGATAAAATACATGTAATACTTTTTGGTAAAAAAACATGACATATGATCACACATGTGTTGTCACTTGACAATATAATACATAAAAGTAAGAATTGAGATTGTTGACCTAAACAAACTTAATTAATCAATTCAAAATAGAGTAGATGCAATCACAATACTCCACAATACTGTAATATAAGATTGTAAGAAGCATGTCCTTTTTTTAATGAAAAAGCATTCTACGTGATCATAGATTTATTTGTGAGTGACGAACATTATAATCGATAGTCCCACGAGAACTTATGTCTTAATGAAAGGAGCAAAAAATCAATAATATTGCTATAGCACAAAGTTTTAGACTATTAGACTATATTTCGTATACATAACAATTGTTGATGAAAAACTTACGATTCCATTATCTCTAATGGGGTCAAAGACCAACTATTTTTGACTTTGTCATATGACAAAATAAAGCAGAATAACGTTTTTAAGTGATTCTATCTTTGTAATTGATCTGAACCTTTGACACACTTTGTTTAATATTATTAATGATAGTGATAAATTGTCGTGCATCAGTGATGTGACCATCGCGTCATTCTTTTGGATTATTGTAGCATGGTTCTAAAATTACATGTTATCATAAATATAAAAATCTATCCAAATTGGATTTAAGTCATGTTCTCTTCACCTGATCTAATTCATTTTAATTTGATTGAAATACATTTTGATCTGATTTGATCTGAATGTAGTTATATTTAAAGTTTTTTCTGATCTGATCTGGTCTGATTCTGATAATAATAAGTAATAAATAAAAAAAGGCGAGATGAATATAGCCTTAATCACATAAGACTCCGAAAATATCTCTTAATTATTGATTTCCATTGAAACCATATTGGGCCGATTAATAATGGAGCCCGACATAGTGCTCTTCATTTTCAAGCCCAACTCTAATTCTATCCTTCTACATTCCACCGCGGATTCCACAAAACTGGGTAGGCTTCTTCATCTTCTTCGTCTTCTTCTTCTCTGTCTCTGCTCTGGCATTCGACTCGACAAATCACCATTCTTCCACGTCCAGGTATGCTCCATCTTCGCACTCTTAGTTGCTTCAGCTTCCACCATCTTCAAATCTTCATACATTCTCAGACTAAGTTTTAGTCTCGACACGATTATGAAGATACGGGACACAGTTTTTAAACGTTTTCATTATAAGTGATTTTTTTAGATCTGCGGTGAAATGTTCCAGATCTGAAACACCACTCTTCATATCTTCCACTATTCTTACGTTTCCGAAGATGTGCGCATATATACTGTTTAGATCTCCCATTTCGTGTTTCAGACAAGTGTTTGATTTGTTGTAATCCTGTCTTCCATTTTTATCCATTTTATTTTACTGAGTAGTGATTCCACTGTATTTTTTTTGAAACTGCATATTTTATGGTTTTTGAATATATGCATATTGGAAAATTTACTTTGATTTTTAATTTTATCTTTTGCGTTAAGTGAACTGTGTTTTATGCCAGGTCGTTGTTGTCATTGTTTATTGGGTAGAAGAAAATTATATTCATAGCTGCTGAATTGGTGTGAAAAAACGTAGAACATTTTTGTCCAGTTTATTTTAGATTTCACACCTCCATTCTTTGGATGGGGATTAATTGCAAAAAATTGAATTTTGCGATTGGAAAGCACAAAATAGTTACCATTGTTGCTATACTTGAAGTTTTTCCATATACAGTACAATCATTTGAAAGTTGAAACAATAAAGCAAATTCTTTACTGGAGAGCCTACCCTTATTTTTTTGTTACTCTTGATTCAGTTAGTTTTGGCTGGGGAATAGGCCAACGAAACGACAATCTTCTATGTAGATTATTGTTATTGTTGTTTCTATTTTACAACTTTGTGTTTTTCTTATTCTTTAATTTCAATGGTGTTACAATGAATAGACTAAGTTGAATTCAATGCTGTCATGGCAGGTTGAGATATGGCCATAACATCAACTACCACTCTTTCATTGGGGCTAATCACGCCTGCCAGACCCAAGAGTAGCTCAATTTCACAGTCTAAGACGTTGGCTTTAATGCATAAGGCACCTTTTAGGAGCTTCGCAGGACTTAAGGCTACTGAATCATCTATAATAAGCTGTGAATCATCATCATCATTTTTTGGGAGTGAAAGTATTAAACCACTTCTTCGTCAATCCTTCTCCACTCTAAAAGCTCAGAGGGATAGGCACAACTGTGTTCAACCCCAGGCGTCATACAAAGTGGCCATTCTTGGGGCTGCGGGTGGCATAGGTCAACCACTAGCCCTTCTGGTCAAGATGTCCCCACTAGTCTCGGATTTGCACCTTTACGACATAGCCAATGTCAAGGGAGTGGCAGCAGATATCAGTCACTGCAACACTCCCTCACGCGTGTTTGATTTCACAGGAGCTTCCGAATTAGGAAACTGTTTGAAAGATGTTAACGTGGTTGTCATACCTGCCGGTGTCCCAAGGAAGCCAGGGATGACACGTGATGACCTGTTCAACATAAATGCCAACATCGTGAAGACCCTGGTCGAGGCTGTAGCTGATCACTGCCCAGATGCTTTCATCCACATCATCAGCAACCCTGTCAACTCGACGGTCCCGATTGCAGCCGAGGTCCTGAAACAAAAGGGAGTTTATAATCCCAAGAAACTGTTTGGTGTCACCACCCTTGATGTTGTGAGGGCAAACACGTTCGTTGCTCAGAAAAAAAACCTCAGGCTCATTGATGTTGACGTCCCAGTCGTCGGAGGGCATGCTGGGATTACCATTTTACCCCTGTTGTCGAAGACGAAGCCTTCGACTTCATTTTCAGACGAGGAAGTTGATGAGTTGACCGTGAGAATCCAGAACGCGGGGACAGAAGTCGTTGAAGCAAAGGCGGGGGCAGGATCTGCCACACTGTCAATGGCGTAC